TTTTTCTGCTGCTAGTTTGACTGACCTGAGCAGGTGAATTCTAGACACGGATCCCTGTGTTCAGAGATGGCTTTTCTGAGGATGGAAGAACTGGAGGGATGTTCCCAGACCGTGGGGTGGGGTAGGTGGGTGTTGCTGGGCAGGGGGTGACCTTGAGGACAACTCCCTCTGCCGAGTCCCACCGCTGCCTGAGATCTGGGCCCCGTGTGGGATGGTGAGCGAGAAGGCGACCGTCACTGACACTGAACCTCAGCATGGGGGGCTTCACGAGAACCAGTATAGAAACACTGCTTGTTTCTGCCAATCTCTTTTTATGACAGCCTCAAAATTACTTCTCCAACTCACCAGCCAAGCTGCAGCCAACAGCCCACAGGATCATCCATTTCATTAAGAGTTAAAGGATGCCCCCCCCAACTTTTTTGGGGGGAGGGGTGTAAGGGACACACACAGTTTTTATAGCAGCTAAAAACTACTTCCAAACAGTCCTAATTGCTGTGGTTGGAGGAAAAGAGAATGTGTACAAAGGAAAATCTAATACTGCCTTTCGCTTCAAATAGCCAAGTTCCTGTGTTTTATAACATTTTCAGAAAGGAGATTCTACCTACACTGTAGTTACTTGCCCACCAAACCTGAAGGAATGTGGTTTCACCAGGGTTGGGAGCTGTTCTCTGGGGGGTAGGAATACCCTGAAGCTAAACCTACCTCTCTTGTTCTCAAGATTATAAAATATGATTTACAGTATCTTCCCGACATTACGATAGTAAAAAAGTCTTTTTCAAAACTCCTTAACAACTTAATAAAGTATTAATACAGACATGCTTCTCATTGGTAGTGGTGGTTACTGTTTTATCCTCTGAGTGCGGCCTCCCTCCAAAGAAACATCTCAGGAAATTCTCCATGGAGTGAGCATTGGAGACATTCGCCCTCAAGCAACCCACTGTGGTGTTTACCTTGAGAACATTACTGGTACTGAGCTTGGAACAAAAGAATATCACTCTCATTAGGACAGTTTACGATCGTTTGATTTTTCACTTGTGCTTCTCTGAACATGGAAACGAGATGAATCGTTGGAAATGCCAGCCTACAACACTCATGGCCGTTCTGACCATATGACAGGTCCAGCTTTACGCACTGTATAACTCCCGTGCTAGAATCTGCAGCTGCTCTGGTAAACATGGCCCAGCCTTAATAACCTTAAAAGCTTATAAATAACATTACAAATCAAAAGCTTCTTTTGGCTGACATCGGCTATTCTTTGCCTTTCTCTACTCTGATCTTCATCACAGACTTTCCTCTCCCAGTTCCCTCCCTCAAACACCCGCACCTACTCTTAACCCTCGGCAGCAATCATGCGAGCTGACTTCCTTCTCCTCCTTTCCGTCGCATCTTAGATGGCGCAGGCGCCACGAGTCTCGCTCGCTCCCACCGCCAGGGCCGGCGGCCCACACGCTCACGTGGCGCGCAGCTCTCCCGCAAGATACACTCGATGGCAGGGACGGGTCCGTCCTATTTTCCTACCCTACGTTTCCCAGCCTCACGTTCCATAAATACTCACTGATGCAATTACTTTGATTTTAAATTCAGAAATTCTCTTTACAAAAACAGTGTGCACTGCAATTTGGGTCCTGGGTATGATTACAAAAGGAGAGGTTTCTCTCCTTTTAAAAGACCTTCAAGCAAGCGGGCAGAGTCTCTACCGGAGGCCCTGTGGAGCAGGGTGCCCGTGAACCCCCGTTCAGCTCACCTAGAGGCTTCCCAGGGTGCGGGGTCGGGGTGAGACCCACATCTCAGAACTTGGGACTCTCCCCAGATGAGAATAGCCTCTGACAAGCCCAATGGGAACATGAGTTCCACAACAGGATCCAGCAAACACGTCTAGGGTCTGATGTCAGAACAATCCAAGAAGGTTTTGGCAGTTTCTTTGATGCAGTGAAATGGGAACTGGCTGGAAGATTGGACACAGCAAATGACACTTAGCACCCAAATGGCATTTAGTGAAAAGCAACGTTTACAGCAAAGCATTCTATCACTTAGTGACTAAGGATTTTAAAATAAACACCAAGTTCCTTTTAAACAGAAATGGAAAAAAGAAAAAAACTTCACAAACTTCCTGGCAAGACTCTAACATGAGCGTCCCCAGCAAGGGTTAGATCTGAATCCCAGGAACTGCTTCTTTCAAATCAGAGTCTAGGAGGATGCGCGTTTGAACATACACTGTGCGTTCTATTATTTCAGGAGGAATAAATTAATTACAGGCGAAGGGGAGTCTTTTACACCTTAGAACTGATCAGATAACCCTACATCCCTAAAGCTGAAAGAATGGAGGGTTTGCTCTATGTGCTTTTTACAGCAAGGAAGTAAAAATGTGTGCAAAACACTACACGTCTACCTTTTATAATTAATTTCCCAATGCCTCACCTATACATATTTTAATAATTCCTGATTTATAAGATGGTATCTATAATAAAATTTTCTATTTTCAAATAAATGAAAAGAAGGCAGGTTCTCTCTGGCAACAGTGTCACACAATATCTGCTTGTCAGGCACCAATTTTTACTTCTTACATGTAAGTTAAAGGATAAGGGATTTATAATGCTGCCTGTGAAAGGAACCACTTTTCATACACAAATGTGATCTTTTTTTTTTTCTCAAAGGGTAATACAACAGTACATTTACATAAACTAATCCAAACAATCTATGTATTTGACAATGGCAAACCTCACACAGGCGGCCTATTGTTGGTTTACATCTTGGAGTTCTTTATATTGGCTTGTAGCACTGCTCTAGCTGTCAAAGGTTTGACTTGGACTCCAAATAAATGGTTATAGAAGTGCTGTGCAGCGATATTGGACTTCTTTGCAAAAGAAAACCTGCTGTGTATGAATTCAAAAGCTATTAATTTTTCAGTCAAAAATATTCGTGCCTATTTCTTTTAATAAAGAAATACTGTGCTGAGCTACTAAGAGATAATGTTGACTAGTGGTAAAGAATTTTCAATAGAGCAGTTAAAAATAAATTTAGTAGGAGGTCCCCTTCCAAGTTATAATTTTCTAGCATGTAAAACATTTTTTTAAATACTGATGAAGACAAACGTTCCTGCCCTGTGCATTTCCCCCAGGACGGCTCTTTCCTGTTCAGTGGCTGCTTAACATGGGTCCTCATGGAGACTCCCAAGGATCCCTTTTGTGGCCTCTGGAAGCCTATGTGTATGGCACTCCAGGACTGCACCCAGCCCTATGATGGCTCGTGGAGTGCCCCGCAGGGTGTCTCAATTCCTTTTCTGCTTTCATCCCTCCTCCTCTCACCAAGAAGCCTCATGATCCTAAACGAGTCCACTCCTAGAGTGCTGAGTCCACACATTATTCTAATCCTCATATTTAAAATCTAACCTCATATTACTGTTTTTAATTCACAGAGTAACTCATCTTTCTCTCCCTTGTCGCTGGGTTTAGAGACGCAAACCCTTTATCCTGGAGAAAACCATTTCCCTAATGAATGGAAACCATCTGAAGATGTCCAGAGAGTTCTAAGACGATTAGCTCCCCTTGCCACCAGCTCTAACCACTGAAGAACTCAGTGGGATCATGCAAGGATCTTACCTATTTGTTTTAGCGGGGTTCACATTATTCCTAGGAGCCTCCTTAAAAGAAGGGGTTGATAGGAATAGCACCTAGAGCACGGTTGACTAATGACTCCACAATACCAAAAGGCCTTACTCTTTCTTTTGGGGGACCTACACGTTTGGTCCTACAGCCATTTACTGCAAAATACATGGAAACCAAGGGCTCTTTCCTAGTGAAAATGGATGTGCAAAGTGTTTAATGATTTTATGTCCTATATCTCAGTAATGTGTTCTGTTTCAGACATTAATTTTGTCTGCCAACTGCATCTTGGCAGGCTACCATATTTGCTGGGTTAATAGTCTGACTCCGTTTTATTTCTATCACCATAAATCATACATATATGGGTGTATGTTTGCTTTATTTATAGAAAAAAACCAGTCAAAACAGATAAACCAATACTTTGCCATTATGCTGCATCATTGCATATTGATTAAAATTGCTGGTACTAACTATAGATTGTCAACGCTCAATTAATTTTCACACAGTGACTCCAAGCAAAATCAAATAAAGGCAGTGTACCCTTAAATTTTACAAATCTTAAAAATCAAGAAGCAAAGCACTCTCTCCATTGTGAAAAATTAGTTGAAGCAACTAGATTCTGAGAACTGTAAGTATATGAGAAACGTAACTGAAAACCATCAAGGTACAACAGGGAATGAGACCCAAGACAGGAACTGGGGTCCAGATAGCATCCTTCCACTTTGATATTGTCTGTGCTTGCATGACACTCTTCAAGGTCAAAGAAAAGGGAAATAAGGCAAGTAGTAAGAGATTCCTGAAAGTGAGATGTAATTTTAGGGTACCATGTTTGATCTCACTTTGAAGGAGTCATTTTCACTTCCAACTCTTTAGTAACCATTAGATGTTCTGCGGTAATTATAGCCTCTAACTATTTCAACACTTCCTCCTTCTTTCCTCTCAGACTGGACTGGACCATTCCTCAACCCTTTTCTCATACCCACTGTCTCCTAACTAACCCATGCCAACATACATTTTCTTCTTCTGCCTTCCTGGTCTGGCAGTCCTCTCTGTTTTCACCAACGAGAAATCAGAAAGATTGCTTTTTGTTCTGTTTTTCATTTTTTCCTTCCCAAGAGCTGTCATAATATGTTTTAGCATGTTGGTGTAACATCAATCATCTGTCCCAAAGAAGAGCTGATTGTGGGGTCTCGTGGCTGAGGACTGTGCCTGAATCATCCCGTACGTATCTCCCTAAATGCCCAGCACACTGCACTGTTCATAAAAGGTAACCAGAACCAGATGGAACTTAAGTCTTTCAATATTCAAAGCTGCCAGACTAGGGATCCTCCTTCCTGGTGGAAGGGAAGCAGAGAAGAAATAGTGTCAGGTACCCCCTGGATGTTGCTCAGTACTTACGGGCTGAGGGGCAGTTTTGGGTTCTGTAGACTTCACGTGCAGGTGGGTCATCATGGCTTGCAGGCGCTCTTTGTCTTTCGCAAGCTAGTAGGGAGAAAATGCTCTGTTATTTCTTTGAATACAGATACGTTACTCTTTAAATATCCCAAATGATACATATTCTAAATTACACTATGGCCCCCTGGCATGCAACAAAATTTGCATCACTGCTTAATCGTTTTGAAATCTATACGACCAATGCCAAACTCCGAGTAACTGGAGGTGTCGGTGTGTGATTTCTCAACACAAGATGCATGAGCCTTTAACTGGGAAGTCCTAGACCTACTGGCACCAAGGAGTCCCGTGTAACATAGACAGCTACAAGACAAAACCGTGAATCACGCCTATTAACCAACCTGATTCATGAGGAAGCCAAAGGAAAATGAGCTAGGGAACTGAAAACTCGTAAATTCATCTGTTGTGGTTGTGGAGAAACTCCTAGACACACAGATATACTTATGCAAAATTAATTCCATCTTTCTTCACAAGTAGACAGAGATTCAGACAGTCCAGGCAAGCAATTTTAACAGGGCAGATAGCTACAAAGGGGGACAAGTCCCCATTTCCAAATAAATGTACAGTAAGCTTACTCACTCACTGACTCAGTATCTGAGCACCTACTATGTGCTAGTCTCATCGTGACAAAAATTCAAGTCTCCTCATTCTAGAAAACATTCTCTTCTGAAGGTACATGAGTTCCTAACTGGATGTACACAGTAGGGACTCAGATGCTGTTTGTTACAGGCTGCTTTCTTATGCTGGCCCTGGACTATTTCCTACACAAGGGTATCTTCAACAGTTTAAGACACTTGAGCATAGGGGACATAATTATGACTGTAGAAGAGGCAGGAAATGTATCCCTCCAAAGATACAGGTTTAGTTAAGAGAAAAGTTGTGGAATTTGGGGGAAATTCCACAGAAGAGATTAATACGAGATGGGGAAAGGGAGGGAGGAGAGGAGGGAGAGGAAGGAGAGGCAGGGATGGAAAAAAATCTCGGTTCAGGATGTTTACAGACTATTTGTCCAAAATAATGCCTTAGAATTGGGAAGGGACTCAGTTCTTCCATGTCACATAATTAACACTACACCTTTAAAATATCAATTAATTTTTTGTAAGTCTAAAATTATTCCCCCCTCCTCAAATCAAGTAAGATTTATTTTTTAAAAATCAAAGTGCATTTTAAGGGAGGAGGATGTTTCAAGAATTGGGGGAAGGCAGAGAAAAGGGAATAACTAGAAAAACAAGAAGGAAAAAGCTTTCAACTTATCCTAACTCGATGACTCAGTCTCAAGCCATATCACATTTGATTTTTTTTTTTCCTTTTTATTCCCTTGTGGTGTGGTTCGGGGAGGAATAAATTAAGAAGTGGCGGGGAGGGGGGGGGAACCTTACAGTGTTAGCATTTATCTTTCAACAAACAGGAAATGAAAATGATACCATATTAGGAGCCACTTTATGTTATTCATCCTCTGTTCTTTAGTCAGTTATTGAACAGCCAAACTAAAAGATGCTCAGAACACATAATGCTAAAGGAATTCAGTTTTCCAAAGTGGCTCAGTTAGAACAATTAAAATGTTAGCAATGGCATTTTTCTACAGTTATTTGTTTTTTATGTAAGTGTTCTAAGTTCTTCAATGTTACAACTAAAACATTTTTAGATTAAGAAAAATGGTTTGTTTTAAAATTATCATGGGGCAGAGGAATGGAGGCATCTCAGTTATTCTTTTTAAAAACAAGTAGTCGTCTGTGGTGCTAAATGGTACAAATTTAAGGGTGGGAGGCAATATTTACTGAAGAGTCTGATGGATATTAATCGTGACTTAATTTAGGGGTAAACATTGTTGATGGAACAATTACAAAGACCAACTAGAAGGAGGTCCAAATTCCCAGCATCAAAAGAAACCATTACCTCTATGTTCCATCCAAATGTCTACCAGGCTGACCTTTTACTGGTCAAAGGTGGTAACACCACATGGCAAATACACATGGAGAATCTGTACACCCAGTCACCTCCACAACCCTGGTGTGCTTTACTGCTGGAGGGAATCTTATTTCTTCTTAAGAATATCACTTAGATTCATCATTCATTTGGAGAATTATCCAGGTTCTTTATTGTGCCTCAACCTCAAGTCTACTATCCTAACTCTGCTTTACTATAAGACAGGCAAGGTTACAGACAGAGGCAAAAATCCAAGTTTTTCCTTGTGTTTATTAGCGCAAACTAGCATGTCATATATAGTATTGGGAAGGATTTTGGATTTTTATCATTGGTAACAGTTCTAATACAAACCTCTGAGAACTGAAAGAAAAAAATCTCACCAAATTCACTTTTTATTTTTATGCAAAAATGGCTACAAATTCACACCTAGTGAAATCAGCTCTTCTCTCTACGGAGGGCTGTCTTGCATTTACAATACTCACTGATCCTTCAAACAGCTTGCAGATTCTTTGCTGTTTTTTTATGCCATCATTCCATGAGCTCACCACCCCCATCAATTTTCACAGCATCCCTTCTTTGTTATAATATGGGAATACAAACATTTAATATTAGCAAATATAGTCTAGCATTCTCTTATCAACTGACTCCCATGACAGGCAAAGAAAAGGATGGAAAATTCAGTCCAAAGGTCACCTAAAAATCTGGCTGACAAATTTACACATCCTTTTATGTTGTAGTATCAAAAAAGAATTACTCTCTCAGAGCTTTCCTGGTGGGTACAGGAGGAGTATCTAGCATAAAAGGAATGACAACAGGCCACGCAGTAAGGAAAACTGCGTGTGCAGTGTCTGTTTAAATTAGTAACCTGGTGCACCAATACTGCAGAATGACTAGAGTCAAAAATGGGTTAAAAAGGACGTGGGCTAACAGACTTAGAAGGATTCGAATCCTGGCTCTGAGACTCTGAGCACATTATGTAACCTTTTCAAGCTTTTCACTTCTCCTTCTAAATATGGAATAATAATCTCTGAACTTTGAAGGGTTGTTTTGAGGATTAAATAAATTCTTGCACATAACAAGCTTAGCACAGAGCCTAGCACTTCATGAATGCTCAAAAAAAAAAAAAAAAGTTTTTTTTTTAAAGGAAAGTTATATCAGTCTAGTCTATCTAGACTTCTACTGACTAAGTAGATGTTTCGAAACTGGATCAACACAACAGAGATTCGATGGAGTTTGCAGCTGTGCTAACTGGGGAGAGAATTTAAGAGATTTTAAAGAAGGGAACAGGAAGCTAGGATGATGATGCTCATTTCTCATGGATTTATTCCCTTAGTTCTCACTTTTATCTGTCCCGGGTCCTAAAGAAATGTTTTTTCTCCCCTTGACTAATACGAGTCACCCCCTCTTCTATTCCCCGTGGCCTCAAGTCAGTCTTCAGATCACCAACACTGCCCAAGACTGTAACAGGGGTATCACTCCATAACTGCTGAAGGCCAGGGGGTCCCATGCACCATCTTCAAAGGTAAAAGCTAAGAAGATTACACTCATTCTTTTAGCAGAGAAAAGGTAACATGGGCTGAAATTCATTGAACACAATCATATTCTACACTCTCAGGAGGACTAATCATTTTAAACCCAATTGGGCGGTTCTCACTCATGAGAAAAGAATTCTAAAAAAAAGCGAACGATCTGGGAGACAGAAAAAACACTAGAATTACAGAGGATGGAGAAAGGAAGGGGCCAGGCCACTCATTCCATTTCACAAGCTGCTGAGGCTATTCCAAGGCCTCTAGTTCTCATGCCGTGTTTCATAGTTGGGGGAAAACTGAGATTCATAGGGAGAACTTAACCTGAGGCTGTGAAGCTAGGAAGGGACAACAGTAAGACTAGAACCCAGGTGACATGATGCTTGGTCTGACTTTCCCAAAGGGGTGTGATCCCCGGCATCACCTGGGACACCACCTGAGAACTCAGATCTTTGCTCCCCTCCCATCTCTTACACTGACCTACGTAGGCAGAACCTGGGGTGTGTGTATGTGTGCGCACACACGGGTGCACAACGTTGGACACACACAGGTTACAAAGTAAGCAAGCATGGATTAGTCGATGGAGGTCCCCAGTTTCAGCGACTGGGATCTGACCTAATCTTGTCCAGTTCTCCAGGGGAGGGATGCAGGAGTAAATGCTTCCAATAAGGACACCAAGGGTCCAAGTTTAATGAGGGGTGTTGGGGAGACACCACTCTCTTCTATGAACTGAGTGTGCCTTAGCGGGGCTCGATATCCTCAGCCACTGCATACACTGACAGTCCCTACAAAACTGACGGAGGCAGAATGGGTCTTGTCACCTGGCCTCTTAAGAGCATACTATCAAAAAGAGGAAAATAAGGTAAAAAAAAAAACAAAAAACAAACGGGGGTGGTGGGGAGGTCAACTCTGTAAGGAGGAGAAATTAAATTCTTCTACCAAGCCGAGTATTTACCAAATAGCGATCTTCCAGACCTCTATCGAGTGGTGGTCATTCAGACCTTCACAACTCGGCCTTGAAGGCCAACTCGGGCTCTCAGCGGGTAGGCAACCTACGGCTCATTTCACCCCAATTGAAGAATTTCCCAACTTTTATTGTATTCTGTCACCATCTTAACATTCCTCACGTGTTATTATTAAAGACTCTCTTGACATTTGAAGCAGACGCACTCGGATACTCTGTCATAGTCTAGGAATTCTAATGCTCCCAGAGTAAAGCAGGATTTTAAATTATGAAAAAGAATCGACTTGGTTTTCCAGGGGGGGGGGGGGGGACGAGGAAGGGCGACACGCAGAGACCCTCCCTCCTTTTTCTCGGCCCCTGTCTCAGAGCAGTGGCAACACGGAGCTGTGATGCTATCAGGATCTCTCTGTCCCACCACCCTTCGAGCTTGTTCAGAGAGAGTCAGGAGGTTGGGGAGTCCCCGTTGTGAGGCGCTGTCCTGAGTGCCGCTTCAAATGGGGTTAGAAGGGCCCAAAGGGCATCGGAGACAGGTAACATACCGGCCAACGTCCCGGAAGTTGGTGTGATTACCAACAGCCCGGCTGACGGCGGAGGGATCACACGAGACCCCGCGG